ATACTTCTGGTCTCAGAGGTAAGAAACTACTAATATATCTTACATTTGTTCTTTTATTACCTCAATGCTACTACTATATCAAAATAGTTATAAAAAAGTCATTTATGCTATCCCATTTTTTTTTTTTTAATCTCGCTCAACTCTTCATACCCAAGGATAAAATTCTTGCCTCTCATGGGTGTGCATATACTTAAGTAGTTATAATTGACATCTAGAATCCAGAGGATATATCTGTTTGCTGTAAGATTGAAATGATGGATTGAAGATTTGTTATAACTAGTTCGTATTAATCATGCCCAAAGAAAGAAGAACAAACTATTGTGAAAATCATACAGCGTGCGCTCGGTTGTCTGAGTCAATTAAACACTCCTGTATTACAATTTAAATTACAATTAAAATTACTGTACGTATGGACTGTAGGCCTATGTATTCAAGCACTCCAGGAATCCTTCAATCCCAGGTGCAACCGCTAGAGTCTGGACTGTATATGATTCAAAAAATTTATTTTAAAAAAAAGAACAAACTATTAATTTGTGATAGAAATTCCGTGGAAAATATAGAAAAAGTGTGGAAAATAATGAAAGCACAGCAACTGCAAGTGCTGCTCTTTGATACTTATGATTGAAATCCCAGAACAGGAAACACTTCCCCTTGGATTTAGATTTCAACTCCGGAGATTGACATCCCTGGCAGGGGCAACATGCGATGTCTCTCATTAGAGCAGTTCTTCCATAACCGCCTTAAAGAATGCGCGTGCTGCGAGGGCCGTGTGCTCAGTCCTCTGGCAGCAATGTTTGTGGCTTCTTCTCCAATGTGAATTACAGACCTCTCAGCACAATCCTTACATTGCTCTCTGCTACACTTATGCACATAGTCACTCTGAATCCAACGTGATACCTTCTGGTTAACCCTGGAACATTAACTACTGTGGCTCTCTCGTGGAAGAAACAGAAAATTTTCTGTTGAGTATGGAAATAACTCTATAAAGCTCATGATACACGAAGGCTTATGAATAGTATATCGGTTATTGCAGACATCATTAGTGCGGTATATTTCCTTGGGTTCTTATGGGAAATTACTTTCCTTGGCACATTCTTGGGAATTCGTTTCTGTGTTCCATTAGCTCTGCGGGATGACCTCCTAAAGTGACGGATGCGGTTCTCGTGTTTTGTGAGACTGCTCTATAACTGTTCTTAGCGCTCCTTGTTTGAATGCATATTATGTTCTCTTTGAATATTGGCTGAGAATAGGATTTATAGTTTAGTCTTAATGAACAAGAAGGAAACTTGCAGTGGAGAGAGTGATACACAGCGGAGCAGGCAATACTTGTCCTCATCCTGACTGCCCTGCCAAGTATGTGACCTGCGGCAAGTTACTCTAACTGGACTGACTGTTTCTTCAGCTACAGCTCAGTTTTTTCCTTTTTAAAGGTGTATTATTCATTTAAATCTTTTATTTCTTTAATTAGAATTTTGTGATTTCTAACGTGTCTATACACACATATATGAACATGTCTTCATTAGTACTGTAAATAGAATCTTTTTTTCAATTACAGTTTGCATTCATTGTTATTCTGCATTAGAGTCAGATGTGCAGCATGATGGTTAGACAATCATGTACTTTACAGAGTGGTCTCCCCGATATTTCAAGTACCTACCTGGCCCCATACATAGCTATTATTACTATATTATTGACTGGATGTATATTGTAACTCACATCTCTGTGACTATTCTGTAATTACCAATTTGTACTTCTTACTCCCTCCACCTCTTTCATCCAGTCCCCAAAACCTCCTCCCCTCTGGCAACTGTCAGTCTGTTCTCTGTATCTATGAGTCTATTTCTAGTTTATATTATTTACTTTTATTTATTTATTTATTGGTCTAATTTATTTTTAAAACTCCTCAGTTTGTTTTCTATTATCCTAAGACTTTCAGCATTGAGTAAATATGAACTCTGTAACTTAAAATCCTGTCGGGGAGCCAAAATTGAAGTACAAAAATTATGGAAAAATATATAATCAAGTACAGATGGTTCCTGACCTATGATGGTTTGACTTCGGTGTTTCTGACCCCGCCGTGGTGTGAACGGGCTCCGCTGGAGAGCACCGTGTCTGCTGAACCACCGGCAGGGGTCGATGCTGCAGTGCTTGCTACGGGCTCTTCTCAAGCCTCATCAGAGGAGAGAGACACCGATGATCCTGGTGCTGCAGCCTCCGCACCATCCAGCAATTCATTTTAGTTCAATGCCTCAAACATTCTTCAGGCCCGGTGTGCTTTTAGTTGTGATTACCCACACAACTATTCTGCTTTTCACTTTCAGTATGGTATTCACTAAATTACATGAGGCATTCAACACTTCGTAATGAAATAGGCTTTGTGTTAGATGATTTTGCCCCACTGTAGGCTGATGTAAATGTCCTGAGCCTGGTAGGCTAAGCTAAGCCATGATGTTTGGTAGGTTAGGTGTGCTAAATGCATTCTTGACTTATGATAGTTTCAGTTTACAATAGGATTATTAGGACGTAACACCATAGTAAGTCAAAGAGCAACTAACTGTACTGACTTATGTAGTAAGTTGGTAAGGAATATTGGTTACAAGCAACAGAAGTCCACCAACTAAATTAAGCCCAAACTGAAGTTGTTTCAAAAGATATCAGGGGCTCTCAAAATCAGTTGGATCCTAGGTAAGAGGCCAGACTCGAGAATGGGGAGGATTGCAGGCAGCTTGGATGAGGAGAGAAGCAGGAATATAGACACCATATAGCGTGGCTGGAACAGTCTGGCCAAGATTCTGCTGTTCTGTTGACACTGATGTGTATGACTGTCACCATTTGTTTTGTTCTTGCCTTACTTGCTCAGACTCATGGTGTAGGATGCAAGCATTCAGTGCGCTGACATTAGGTCATGTGCCCACCCTTTCGCTGTAGTCGCAGATGGCAGCCTGACAAGGCAGGCACCTAAAGTTACTCTCCAACTCGATCATTCACAAAGGGGTGGATTCATTACCTAAAAGGAAGCCTTATTAATAAGTAGAATGGCTAATGACAAATGTCCACTATATAGTAAATCACAGACGCTAGAGGAGCTAGTTGAGTCTTCACTGGAACTATTGGGAGACTTAATGAAAAAGACTGAATAAATTGAGTTGAAGTCCATGAAGGGAGATTAAAAATACTACACCAAAGAACGAAGAAAACTGCACACACACAGAAAAATGTATCTAAACCACCAAAACTCAATCTGTGGGACTTTCAATATTGTTTCTAACAAGTTACATTGCAACTTTTCTTTCTCAAAAGGGCTTTGTGGTCACTCATGGGAAAGAGAACAGTATAACTCTTGGCATAGTTCATTCTCCAAACCTAGCAAATTGTATCTTCTTATCAAAGATCACTGGCTTTTTCTAGAGGCGTCCTGAAACTGCATAGTCACATTCCCCAGGACACTGAGGAATTTATGGTTCTTCAGCCCCTCCAGCGATTCAGAAGATATATATCATCCCCTACATTATAAAAACAATAAGCACAGAATATATTTAAAAAGAGCTAATACAAGAATTAAGAAATCATATATTTGTTATGGATATCATTTATTATTAGAGTAACATTTTTCTTCTCCCTTTCACCTAGATTCTATTGATTAATTGAAATAGGTTGGTTTATACTATGATATCGCTTACAATTTCTGGCCACAGAAGCATACTCTTTCCACAGGACTGTATGGCTGTGCATGGCTTAGCCATCTTTGATCAACCAGTTTCAAAGGCTATTAGTGATCAATAGGACTACACCTAAGACTTCATGGCTGAGATGTTCAAGTAAAATTTTAAATTTCCTCTGCCCATAATATAGTTGTAACTGAAGCACATAGATCTTATTTCATTTTTCACAGAAAAAAACTTTATGGCAGCAATATGAGAACAAACGAAGCCCACCCCCACCTGTCTCTGTCTCAACACAATTTCCAATAAACATGTAAAACCTGCTCCAAATAGAACATTTTCATGACTATAAAGTTGAGGATTCCTATATGCTGAACACATCTATTAGGGACTCTAAATATTGGTTGATTTAATTCCAAATGCATCTGGAAACTGATAGAGAAGTGTTTCTCCATGTGATGTCATGAAATTACTATTGTTTCCCTAAGAAACAGTGAGAAAAGCAAACAACTCTCTAGATAACATGGGTAAACATGAATAAAATATGTTTATAGTCATCTACTTGATGATGGATTTGCAAATCTGTCTGCTTTCAGATATTCAAGACAGAGAAAAATTGCACAGGAAGAAAAGCCTTGGATTTCCTTATTGAAACTGGTAAAAGTAAACATGCATAGTAAATTGGAGAAAAGCCTGTAAGTCTAGCATATATTTTTGAAAGTGTAGCTCCGTATTCTTGGGGGTGAGGAGAGGGCAGTGATTATTGACATTCTGTTCTTTAATTTTGTTTCTCTTGCTAAAAGTGATGATTGAAAATTCACCTGAGTGGATGAGAGAAGACAACAAAAGTATATTTCCCCCACTGGTTAGATGTGAAGAGTATGTTCTGTTTGTGGTAAATTCCTGCACATAAGGCTGACTAGGTTGCCAACAGTTAGTGGGCTGCTATGGTTGACGCGGGTGCACAGAAGTAACAGAAATGAGAAGACAGAGCTGGTCTGAGAGGTGTGTTGTCAGAGCCAAGCCAGCAGCTGGCTTTCTCGACTCCTCACAGAAACCTACGAGGGGGCTTTATTTTGGTGAATTTAGCACAGCATGTGATCTGGCCCTGAGCTTGTCCAGGCTTGAAGCCCTGAAATTCTAGTCAACTCGTAGGAATGGATGTATTTCCCAGTGACAGTTTCATGTAAACCAAGCTTACAAGGTTACTATCCAAAATTGAGAGCCAATTAATTAATTTTTAATGGGAAATGTAATTGTCACACTAACTTAGAACTATCATCTAGACCAGTCCATTCTCTTTCTGTAGATAATTGAAGATGAGATGTCACATTATAACCTGAAGCTTACTTGATGAAGGAGAGAGCAGAACAAAGGGATTTGTGTAAATAAACATTCTTTAACTGTCAATGCATTCAAGACCGGCCTGAGAGCATTTCTTCTCTCTTCTATGTCTCTCGTTATTAGACATTGTGTGCTAGCTTAACCAGTTAAGGTCTGTCTTCCCTCATTTTCCAGTCTTGGGGACAACTAGAATCTGTCATGGATTGACTTAAGGAGAATTTTATTCTCCCAGGTAAAGTATAAATTAAGATTATGATTGCAGTTTTAAAATGTGTACATAGGCAACACATAGAAGTCACAATTATTTTTTCAGAAGGCTGAGAGTTTAATAAAGTTGAGTAATACTGAATTCCACAAAGAAAATGAGTTGGCTATTACCCACTACTAAGAGAGGTAGGAAGGATTGTTGGACCAGAAGAGAGAGATCAAATCAGAAGGGCAGAAAAATTCTGGTCTATAAAGAAGTGTGCAGTGGTGAGAATAACTGATCATGCTTGTGTGTAACCTGGATGAAATATCCATGAACACTGTCCATGTGATCTTCTTGGAGACCAGCCCCCCACATACCTTAGTAGCAGCGAAGGAGGTATCCTGAATTGTGCAAACTATGATGGAACAATTGTGTAGGTAAAATGAACTCTGCTGTAGGTTGTGTCCGGTTGGCCTCTGGACTGTTAGAAAAGTCCTCTTTAATATGTAGTTTTAAATTCCCTTCCCCACGCTCTCTTTAATTTTCCCTCACCTGTTCAGCAAAGTCTGGTGTGAAGGCAAATGACGAAAGTAAAGGACTTGCAGATTGCTCAGGGTTCATTTCCACATTTCTCTTCTCCAGAGGCAGAGATCCCGGTGGAGCAGTCTCCCCTGAGGAGGCCTGTAGTCTAGGCATCCTGGGCCCACACTGACACTCGGGTACACGGGTACCATTGCGAGGGGTGGTCTAGAACAGGATTTATGTGTGCTATAAACAAAACCAATGTCCATTCCCTCCATTTCAAAAAGCACATTGTAAAGATATCATCCTTTTGTCCTGAGGTTGCTGGTTCCCAGTCCCAAGTGTTTTTGTAGATGGGATGCCCTGAAGATGTTCAAGGAAAAACAACTGATTAAAGAGGAGACTCTGTTGGAGGCAAAGCAAGGACAGTCCACTTTGAAGGAGATAAGGAAAATTCTTGCCTCAGATAAGGGAGAAAGGAATGAGCTTAAATTTCTGAGACGTGAGGCGAGGAGGGAACCTTTCTGCCGGGAGGCAATGTTTTCCAGAGGCAGTGGGAAGAGAGCAGGCTTTGGACTCACACAGACTTCTGTTCGAATCCCATTTTATTTCCTAATAGACGGTTAACAAGTTAATCTAGCTCTTCTGCTTTAGTCTCATCAGTATATTGAGGGAAGAAGACATCTAAGTCACAGCATTTTATTATACTATCAAATGTGAGCACAAGAACAGAGTCCCCATCAAGGTGCCGAGACCACTGTGATGTTCAAGTACTAGTTTTCTTCTTCTTAACCCATGATGTTTAACTGTATTCAGGTGAAAAGAGGACTTCCGGGATATTAACCTTTCGGTCCTAGTTGATGGAAAGTGTCTCTTCCCGTAATGTGATTGTCCTGGGAAAACCCAGAGAAGAGCTCATCCAGCCTTGTCTGCAGACATCCCCGTTGGCAATCTCTTTTCTTGATTCACTTAGTGTACTTACCCTTGCTGGGATCACCCACAAGAGAGGAGATTGGTTCAGCTCCACAATGAGAAGAATATGTCACTGTCCCAAAGCAGCAGTAATGGCCCTTCTGCCCTTGGGGGGAGAGATAATAGAGGACACTGAATTCTTTGCAAGTTTCATCTATATAGTTTGGTCATTTTCCACTTTTGCTCATTTGATCTCAAGTTTGTGTTTGTTTTTAAATACTACTTGAGAGAGGATTGACTGAAACTATGCACAAGCATGGTTTTGGATTGAGGGAATAATCTGTCTTCAGTTTGAGGTGGTGATTGTATTGTACAAATTAAAAATTCTTATTGAACCAGAAAGAAAAAAAAAAAAAGGAAAGAATTTGAGGAAGACTATTTGAGGAAGACTATTTGAGACTTAGTAATAAGATCTAAATTTTGTTAATTAAAATCTCTCAGTAAAATAAATCATTTTCCATTTAGAAAAAAGTAAGTACTACTTGATGACATTTAAGGCTGTGGTCTGATGGTTATTCATTCATCGTTACATTCTCGTTTGTTTTTCAGATCATTCAGGATGATTCCAGCTACCTTAGGTTTTCATTTTTTTAGAACTAAGTAATTTCTCGACATCTTTGATTCTTAGACTTCTTTATCTTCTCTCTGTTCTCTGAATACCATAAATACAACATTACAGTGGACCGACATTTTCACCAAGGAGAATCAAATCTAATCTTATAAACTTGTTTTTCAGATCTAAGGGCCAACACTGTGATTTCCCGGGAGCCCCAGGGCATGAAATCAGAATATGAAAACAGAAGTATAAAATAAGGCAGATTGTTTTCCGACAGGAATATAGACATATAATTAAGATGATTTTCAACTTACAGACACTGCCTAGGTTTGACTGTATCCAAGATGGAAAGGGACACAATGAATACCTTGTTTCTTTGACTAACAATCAAAACATCTAATTAAAAAATACATTTTCAACACTAATGTTTTAGATTGCAAAGCAAATCACCTAAACAGAAGACGCTGGAACAGAATATGATTACTGTATACCTATGAAAAAATCTAATTTGGAAAAGTTCATCCCTTGATTTTCAAAGAAAAGCTAATTTGTTACAGTTACTATAGAGACGTCAAAGAAGTCATTGTAGTTGAATTTAAGTTACAGAAAATTCTGCTAACGCCTTTCAAGTTGTGTTTAATATATTGAGTAAATGAGAGGTAGAGAAATGTTCTGAATCAATAACCAACATTCTAATGTGACCCATGTAATTCCTCAAGAGGAGATCTAGGGAACCCCATGCAATGTGATTTCTAGTCAAGCCCAGACAACTCGCCACTCAGTTCTCTCAAGAGGAAGGGTGAACACATGGGAATGACAAAAGACTACCCACTGTGATTCTATTGATTTTCACATGTTATTTTCCCTTCTGTTTGCCTCCCTCACCAGTTTCTCACTCCTTGATATTTCTTTCACATCCAGCATAGCACAGAGAGAAGGGAAAAAAAAAAAAAAGGCTGTTGGTACATATTGGTGGATATTGTACATATTTGGGACTTTGAGTAAGGTTTCATATTCTGTTCACACTGCAAGAGTGCACATAGAGCAGACCAGCGGTGTTTTTCTACAGTCCTAATGGTGCCTTTGGCCAGAAACTGACTGATTTCCTACTGGATTTAGAAATTGTTGTTTAGGATGACCTTTAAGAGTGTTGCTTTACAGATAATTGGGACTTAAATTAGATTTCAGAGAGCCAGAGTAGCGATGTGGATAAGGCATACTCTGGAACAGAATCCTGATTCTGTATCTTGTTAGCTATATAATTTGGGGTAAATTACTTAACCTCTTTGTGCCTCAGTTTCCTCATTTGTAAAATAAGGCTAATCATAGTGTCTACCTGTTAGGCTTGTTGGGAGTCAAATATGTTATATGTAAAGCATTTAGAACATGCCTAGCTCAATATAAATGCAATTTAAGTGTTTGCTATCATAGGTCCACAGTCCTATGTTAAAGTTAAAAAGCTGGCGGGAAAATGGCATATTGTAGCAAACTCATTAGGTGATAAGATTTGACATGGACTGATCTGTGGCAATTTATATACTTTATCCCACTTTGTGTGAATATTCATATATATGATTGAAAAATTATTAATGTGCATGATTAAGAGCAACTGCCAGGTCCGGCCGGTGTGGCTCAGTGGATTGAGCGTCGTCCCATGGACTGAGAGGTCCCTGTTCGATTCCCAGTCAGGGCACATGCCCAGGTTGTGGGCCTGATTCCCAGTGGGGGACATGCGGGAGGCAGCCAGTCTATGTTCTCTCTCATCGATGTTTCTATCTCTCTCTCCCTCTCCCTTCCTCTCTCTCATATCAAGAAAGGAATAAAAAATAAAAATAAAAAAAAAAGAGCGACTGCCAGACCACCCTGAGGTTATAACTGCAGCTTACCTGCCCTGGCCCAGGTGGCTCAGTTGGTTGGAGTGTCATCGAGTACACCAAAAGGTTGCAGGTTCAGTTCCCAGTCAGGGCACATACTAGGTTGTGGGTTCAGTCTCCAGCTGGGGCACATGCAAGAGGCAGCCAGACGATGTCTCTCTCTCTCTCCCTTCACTCTCCCTTTCTTTCTCTAAAATCAACGAATGTCCTCAGGTGAAGATTAAAAACAAACAGACAGACAAACAAACAAACAGAAAAAGGATGTCTGCAACTTTCTTTTTTTTTTTTATCCTCACCCGAGGACATTTTTCCTTTTTTTGTTCAGGTAGAGTGGGAGGGAGAGAGAGGAACAGAGAGAGAGAGAAACATCGACGTGAAAGGAACACATCAAGTGGTTGCCACCCGCACGACCGACCAGGGCCGGGGACAAACTGCAACCGAGGTACGTGCCCTTAGCGGGAACCGAACCCGGTCTCTCAGGACCGCAGGCCGACGCTCTAACCACTGAGCCAAACCGGCCAGGGCATTGCAACTTTCTTAAATCCAAGAAGTTCTGACTTCCAAAAGATATCAAGTCCCAAGGGTTGTCATCCCAATAAATTTAATTTAAAAACATTGAAACAAACAAATAAACAGCCTCCCCCCAAAACAAGACCAAAATATCCCAAAGGGATTGTTGATCTGTGTAGTAATTATTTCATCTGATAGAATAGTAGAGCCAAGCTTGTTTTTTATTTGTGGACACAAAACAAATGGTTTAAAAATATGGAAGCTTTCATTCATAACATGGCGAAGTTATACGACACAGTGATCCATCAAGATTGGAGAATGGATGTTCTGGTTAATCAGAAATTCTGTTTAGTACAGTGTTGAAATCTGTTAATGTTCTACCAATTTTGGGGGTCTTTTTACAGTTCAATATTTCTATTTTTGTAGCATCAATTTCACTCTTTCCTCTGTTATATCTATTTTGTAGCTGTGCCTATCCAAGGATTTTTTTTTTTTTAGTTTCAGAGATTTTATTTTTCAGTTTTAGAATTCATTTATTTCTTTTGCATAGTTTCTATATCTTTACTGATATTTCCTAATATCTCATTTATTACCAGAATATTTTTATC